TCGCGCTATCCTTCTCCGACATCAACGAAGGTGAGTCAGAGCACAGTCTCTCTAACTTCTGAACACGACAAACGGTGATTTAACGTTTCAAATGGCACTGGTTTCAGTTATAATCAATGAAGATTTCACTCATGATTGAAGTGGTCGAGATAATGAGTTGAAAAAGCGTACGCTAACGCTGTTAGCGTCGAATTAGCGGCGCTAGCGTCGAGCTAACGTCGCTAGCGTCGAGTTAGCGCCGCTAACGTCGCTAGCGTCGAGTTAGCGCCGCTAGCGTCGAGCTAGCGCCGCTAGCGTCGGGCTAACGTTAAAGCTAACATACCTTCAGCTGTGAGGCTGAATCATTAACCAGCTGAGCACAAAATAAAGTGAATACATAAGCCGCTGCGGTACTATAAAGCATGCCAAATGATGTACAGGCTGTGGAGTTTACTGACAATGGGACTGACAAGAATACTCATAATTTCAAGTATTAACTGACTAACTAGCTAACTAATGACGCTAGCGCCATTGCTACAGGTTCAGTTCATTACTATGACTGAGTCATTGCTGGGGAACTGGTCTGGAGACGTCAGCTGTTTAGCTCCTGGTCACTTTTTTCAGCCATTGTAGATGTATTAAAATATAGGCTGCATTTAGCAAGCATCCAGGTATAGCACAAATGTGAGTGGTTTTCCTTTTTTTATGTGTCAGAATGGACCTAGATGGTCCTCTATTATTGAAGGTTTTATTCATGATGGGGATGATAGAGATATTTACATTGCAAAACATAAAATTCATTCAGTATTTAATGTTTAACAATACCAAGTTCCAATTAATAAGTATATTCCAGTTGAATTTCTTTTTAGGGATCTATAAAGTTCTTATCTTAATATTGAGTTAATGGATGGAGAGTAAGCTGCCTTGAAGTTGGTGAACCTGCTCCTGGTCTGTCTCTGTCTTGCTGGCTGCTACTGAACTTCTCCTTTTACTGTACCTAATTTACTTTTGATAGCAAGCTGTTAATTTGGATATTGGTGATGTGCTAACACCACAGCAAAGATTCTTTATCTGAGGTATAAGTACTTTAATACAGTATGTATTATGTGTGACATTTTCAGCTGCAGCTAAGAGCCAGGTGATCAGTTTGAGCTGTTTAGTTTTCAATTAGCCCAACTACTGTAATAATGTTAGTTTTCTTTATAGGCCTATTGTTTTTAATGTGCTATCTGTCAGAAAACACTAATGTATTGCTTCTTGTCTCAAACAAACAGAAGATACATCCGCTCCAGTGCATTTGTTGGTAAGTATAAGTGTTTTGACCAGGACTGACAACAAACAAAATAAGAATAACTGGATTAATGTACATATGATGCATTTTTCAAATACTGACTTTAAATTGATTTGAACTGTTGATTTATCTGTAACACTGTTGTATATCCTATATGAAAATCATAGATGGGATACAGTTTTTTCCTAGAAGACAATAGTGTGCTACTACACTACTAAATTAATTTATTTAAAAAATTGCTGGCGAAAGTCTGAATCTTGATTGTGACAATAATTAAGTGAGAAAATCATTCAGATAAATTTTGAATGAAGTTTTTTTTAGTGTATTAAAAATCTCTTTCCCTCTCTCTCCCCCTCCTCCTGCCTCAACTTGTCCTCTGACCTGGGCGAAAATCCCTACCAACTCTGAAGTGTAAGTTCATGCTTACAGTCGGGTCCAAAAATATTGGGACATCAGCATAATACTCATCTCTCTGGCTGTAAACACCACCACAGTTGACTTTAAATGAAATAAACAAGATGTGCTTTGACTGCAGACATTCAGCTTTAATATATGGTTATTTACATCCACATTAGGTGAAAGGTGTAGGAATTAAAACAGTTTGTATATGTGCCTCTCACTTTTTAAGAGACCAAAAGTATTGGGACAAATCAAAAATCATACATCAAACTTTCACTGTGCAATATATGGTTGCAAATCCTTTGCTGTCTAGGACAGATAGATACACCAGACGCTGGGTTTCACCCCTAGTGTTGCTCTGCCAGGTCTCTACTGCAACTGTCTTCAGTTCTTGCTTGTTCTTGGTGCATTTTCTCTTTAGTTTTGTCCTCAGCAAGTGAAATGCACGCTTTAATTTTATATATATATATATATATATATATATATATATATATATATATACTTATTGGGCAATCACTTAAATGTTACATTTTTGCTCTGCAGTTTATAATTATATTTCACTGTTTTGTATTTCACCTCAATAACTTGCATAAGAAAGCAAAAAGTGAAGAGGTCCTTCAATGTGTTTGTGCATTTTCTCTCCATTTTAACAAACATTTTTTACAGGCCAAGGGAGCTGCAGTAACATCCTTTTACTAATCAAGTGCCACAAATTGTAGACTTTGATAAGAAATGAGAAAACTAAGGATCCACAGTGAAAAGTTGTGATTGCAGTAAACTATAAGATGCTGATTTCTTTGCAACTAAATTTATTTATTTTTTGTCCCTGTCTTTTCTCTCCTGAACTCGATGCTATCTCTACTGCTGGCCCTATTCACTGTTGGCGACTCAGCTGTAAGTTCACAAATAAAGTAATTTAAAAATGTTTCCACTGTTACATTTTTAAACATATCATGTAAAAACCTGACATTATGTCCTTATTTGACAAACTGCAACACATTTCCATTGTAACACAAACAATTTTAAATAACACTTAATCAATTTTGCCGGCTGATTACAGTTGAAACTGAAATGCAGTGAGATGTGCTGGTTTTCTACAATTAAACTAAAATCTCTTGTCTCTATTTTTCCATTTTCCTTTTTGCCAACTCTGTCCTGTCTCCAAGTGCAGACCGCTTTGTGGCGACTCGACGTAAGTTCACACAGGAATGACACTTTCATGAATAAGACAGTGTGCCATTATTCAACACTTTATGGACCCCTCATCATGTCCTAACTTAACAATTTGTTTCCTTTGATTATGTAATACTCACAGTTGGAAATGAACAGCTTGAATGTAATATGCAGTACACTTATTTGCATTTCATTTCCAATCCCTGGAAAGCAATTTATTACTATTAGATTGTGGAGTTGGAATTTTTTAACGATGAAAATCCAAATAATTACTAATTGAATGTGATTCCCTCCTTTGTACATCTCTCATATTTAAAAAAACAAGCAAATTTAATGTTCTTTAATATGGAATAGACAATCATTATTTATGCAGCCATTGATTTATTTTATTATTTATTTAATCCTATGTTTAGATATGTGTATATCCTTCTAAGGTACCTTGCATGCTTCTGTTTACAGCTCATGGAGGTGCTTGGCCTCATTACTACTTTTTACATTGTTGGAATACTTAAAACACAGTAAAGGAAATTACCTTCTCCAAAATACATAATATTTTATCAGCAGAGTAATCCATTGTTACTTTTGCTTACCAGGACATGGTTATGAACATTATAAAGGGAACTTAAAGTACTTAAAGAGTCTAAAATACACAGGGATAATAGAACTTTTTGTAAAATACTTTGAGGTCCTAAATTTAAAAAGGTGGCTCTGTGGTTGGATTCAAGTTTGACTCACTGGAGGATGTGGTGGAGAGATGTACTGTGAGGAAGGTGGAGGCTATTCTAGAGAACATGGCTCACCCACTTCACAACACCTTGGTGGACCGAAAGGCCTATGGTGGTGGACGGCTCCTCTGTCTTCGCTGCAGGGAAAAAAGATTCAAAAGATCTTTTGTACCCACAGCCATGAGACTCTACAATTTAAATAGTAGATGACTTATACAGACGTGACAAATGAGACTATAGACAATTGAATTTCCCTTAGGGGATAAATAAAGTTCTTCGTATCTTAAATTAATTTTTGATCAACTATAATGAACACTTTGGATTTTTAGTCCTTATTTGTTTGAAGGGTTATCGAACAAGACAATGGTCACTTCCAGCTTTTGACTCAACTTGACTTTTGAAAGATGTATAATTGAGGACAGCCACTTGATGGGTTGAGTAAAAGTACATTATGATGCCATTAGCTTTGGGTGGATGTTGGTTTATTTTATTTTATTTCTTTAATAAAAAGGGATTAATGTTTGTTTCCATTGTGTCTTACAGGTATCCTGTCCAGTCTCCCCACTCTCCCCTATCATTTTGATCGCTCTGTCTTTCCTGTCTCCTCTACCACTCTGTCTGATTGAAAAGCACTCTGTCTTGTGTCCCCCTTTCTTCTATCCCTCTGGCTAAGTTTTGGACGCTCTGTCTTTCCTGTCTCCTCTACCACTCTGTCTGATTGAAAAGCAACTCTGTCTTTCTATCCCCCTTCTATCCCACTCTGACTCATTGCAGAACTTTTCAGAACTTTGCAGAACTTTTCAGAACATTTCAGAACTTTGCAGAACTTTTCAGAACTTTGCAGAACTTTGCAGAACTTTGCAGAACTTTGCAGAACATTTGAGAACCTATTTTGAGAACCTATTTTGAGAACCTATTTTGAGAAACCTTTTGAAACAAGCAACCTTTCTTTGAGTCAAAACTTTTGAAACGGAAGTACATTTAATACAACCGCTATTTTGAAAAATCCCTAATTTTGCACAAGTCTGATTGTTGTTCTAGGTCCTCCTCTCCTGTCTGTGAATCCAGAGTTTCGCCAGAAGACGTGTCATCAGCTACACCACATCTGCATACCTGACTTTGAAAGAACATAAAAACACGTTTTATATAGAATATTTGAGTTGCATAGTATTTCAAACACAAAGTTCTAAGATTAAAAAATTGTTGATTTGTGTTTTTTCTTCAAACATTTACATAGTCTTGCCTAGGATTTCCTTAGAAAACATTTGATAAACTATTGTTGGTATACACACAGTTATAAATTAGATTTTTTGGAGACTATAAGAGCTGTAAATAACGTCCTCTTGAAGAAATAAAGCATTTTTGTCTATACTGGTGCTTATCAGTAACTTTTAATTGTTGCATAAACATATTGTTGTGAAAGAACAGTTACAATGCCAAGGAAGAGTAAGAGGTCACAGGTTGCAAGCCAGCGCTGGCAGAGGTTTCATGACATTGACCGTGTGAGTACTGGACAAGCAGATGGTATTCCTCAGAGCAGTGGAGAGGTAAAGAGGTCTGAAGTGTCTGATGCTGTGAAACAGGGAGGTGAAAATGCATCATGTCAACCACAGGTATCTTATGCAGACGTGCTTAAGAGGAGACGTGTAAGTGAGTCACCTGCAGCAGGTCCTAACTCTCATCAGGTGAACTACATAGCCCAAACTGAAAAGCCATGCTCAACCCAGGTATCACATGCAGACACTGTTAAGAAGGGAAACCACAGTAATTATCAGTCTGTATCAGGCTCTTCTCAGGTAAGAAATGAGAACGCTGTTAATCAGTCAGGTGAACAAAACGTCTGTGCGTCACGCAGCCAAGCATCTCTGAAATACGGCCAATCCAGGAACCAGCAGTGCACCTGTAACTCACTGACATTTCTAGCATTCCTGTATGAGAGAGAACACATCACCAGAGCAGATCTGGACCGTGTTTTGGATAAAGGTGATGTGATGTACAGAAAAGTCAGAAAAACTGTTTATCACAGCCATCTGACAACCGATGAGCTCCCTAAACAGGTTCCTGCACGCAGACACACGCAGATTTTTGACAAGTTACAGCTGTCTAGATACGGTACGTTTGGAGATCCGGATCCCGGAGCTGTTGATACCTTTCTGGACCTCGTTTCAGGACTGAGCTGCTTATTATCAGATGTGCAGTATGCTTTGCTGCTAATGACTTCACTGTGCATTGCAGTTTTCAGAACCAGAGATGGCAGGTACGGTTTCTTTGACCCACATGCTAGGACAGCTAACGGTTTGCCTCTGCTTAAGGCCACACCTACTCCTGGTACCGCTGTCATGGTAACATTCACACGCCTCAGTGACATGATTGCCAGGCTCATCAGGTATCACCACATATTGGGCACAGCAGCGTCCTGTCGCTATGAGCTCAAGCCAGTTGTGTTCTGTGATGTGAACCCAAGTGATGCTATCCCAGCCACAGAAAGTCCGTCCACAAGTCCCTCTGTAACAACCACTGTGATAAATGATGACACAAGTGCTCCACAGATGAACACTGATGTCCATGAAAACACTGAATGTGACATGGAAACTGAACCAGAACCACTGATCGACTTCAGCCAGTGTTCTGTCACATTAACTGGTCCTGAATCTCTCGTTCTGGAGATGAACACTACTGTAAGTGATGACACATCACAGAAAGTCTCAACTCTGATGGAAACACAAGCTCGTCAACCAGGTCAAATCAGCATGAATTCTGTCAAAGAGGAAACTCAGGAGACACAATCAAATTTGACACAACCATTTATAACTATCCCTGTCACAAGTGACAATGTCCTCCATGACATTTCTAGTAAACTGTCAAAATTGAACAAACAGCAAAAAAAGAAATTTAAGAGGAGACTAATGAGATCTGGAAAGACATCTCAAAAGAAAGAGAATCAAAAAAGGAGAGAGAGAGAAAAGTATGCTAAGAATGAAACATATAAAGCAAAGAAAAAGTCTTATTCAAGTAACAAATATTCTGTAAATCCTGAGATACAGACAAAGAAAAGACAAAAGATCACATCTAAATATAGAGAAAGCACAGACTACAGACTGAAACAAAAAGAATATATCACACGAAAATACAGGGAAAATGTTGATTTTAAAGGCAGACAGAAGTTATATTTCAGGAAAAATATGGAGAAAATATTGATTTTAGAGGCAGACGAAAAGAATATTTCACGAAAAAATACAGAGAAAATGTTGATTTCAAAGGCAGACAAAAAGAATATATCAGGAAAAAATACTCTGAGGATGTTAATTTCCGGCAAAGACAGCGATCATATATTAATCATCGATATGCAAATGATGAAATATTCTGTCACCGACACAGACAGCTGATGAGACAAATGATGCGAGACAGGTACAAGACAAATCTTGCATACAGAACTATGCATAAAATGAGGTGTGCATTGAAAATATCAAAGAAATACAAACGGATAAGTAAACAAACATGTGAGACTGACAGAGAGAGTGAAAACCCACTTATTGAAAGTGCCATCAATGATTTCCGTTCACACATTAAAGCTGGTCCCACCCATGTTTGCACAGTTTGCCACAAAGCCTCATTTCCAAACCAGGTGCAAAAGTGCAAGAGGTCCAACTATGTGAAAAATCCAATCATGGTTTCAGCTTGTCTCAAAGGTCAGTACGTCCATGATTGTAACGATGACTGCAGAAATCACTGCACTGTCCCTGATGAGAGAAAGACTGAGTGGATTTGTCACACCTGCCATGACCATCTGAAAAATGGAGCCATGCCCAAACTTGCCATAGCAAACAACTTGGAGCTTGCTGACATACCACCTGAACTGTGTGACCTCAACATACTGGAGAGACATCTGATAGCAAAGTGCATAACATTTGCCAAAATCATTCCTCTTCCCAAAGGCAGACAGCGAGCTATACATGGTAATGTTGTATGTGTTCCCTCTGAAGTCCAGGAAACAATTCAGGCTCTACCCAGATTGAGAAATGAGTCTCAGGTGATGAGAGTAAAACTGAAGAGACGCTTGAGTTACAGAGGTCACCATCTGTTTCAGACTGTTACCTGGTCCAAGCTAGTACAGGCCCTGCATACACTGAAAGAGATACACCCCCAATATGAAGACATCACTATTAGAGATGAGGAGGAGTTATGTGACCCCACACTTCCTGATGATGGTGATGAGGATGAGGATGATGATGATAACACAATGAATGATGATGACTATGATGATGAGGATTTGATGGAGATTGATAGAATTGAGGCTGCTGCCATGTATGAGGCTGAAACTAATGCTGAAACTGAGGACGACAACACAGAGCTGTGTGATAAAAGTCAGACCCAGGACAATGATGATCAGACACAACAACAGGATTCAGACGTGCATAATGGTGGTGTTGTTTTGGAGTCGTGCCTTCAGCCACGTGATGTTTCTGAGGAGATATTGTGTTTCAGTGACTCTACATACTCAGTAGCTCCAGCAGAGAGAAACAATCCAGTCAGTTTTTTCAAAACACCCAAACTAGAGGCCATGGCGTTTCCTGTTCAGTTTCCCACTGGTGAGAATACACTGGATGAAAACAGACCAATGAAACTATCACCCAGTAGTTATTTTAAAGCAAGGCTCTTTGGTGTTGATGATCGCTTTGCCAGAGATACCAACTACCTGTTCTTTGCACAGTTTGTGACCGAAATACACTTGGCTACCTCCAGCATGTCCATACAGTTACGCAAAGGCAAACCTTTGACCAGAGACGGACGTAAAATAACATCCAGAATGTTGAGAGACAAATACGAAGTGGAGAGACTGGTGAGAAACAGAGATGCTATCAGATTTATGCAGCCGCTCAGAGGAACACCAGCCTACTGGGACAAAACTACAAAAGATCTGTTTGCTATGATCAGACAGTTGGGCAGTCCTACTTTCTTTGTCACATTTTCTGCAGCAGAAATGCGTTGGCCTGAGGTGATTATTGCAATAAAATCACAACAAGGTGAGGAAGTGAATTTTGAAGAGCTCGACTGGTCCACAAAGTGTGACATTCTGAGAAGCAATCCTGTGACAACGATGCGCATGTTTGATAAGCGTGTTGAAGCACTGTACAGAGATCTGATCATGTCTCCTGCACAACCCCTGGGCAAAGTTTTTGACTTCTTTTGGCGTCTCGAGTTTCAACACAGAGGAAGTCCTCATATACATGGTCTTTTGTGGGTAGAAGGTGCACCTGTGTTTGAGAGAGACTCTGACAAAACTGTGTGTGACTTTGTGTCCAAACACATCTCTGCTCAGCTCCCTGACCCAAATAAACAGCCTGAACTGTACAGAAAGGTCAAAGAAGTGCAAATACACAGTAAGAACCACTCAAAGACATGTTTCAAAAGTGCAAGTTCTGGATGCCGATTTGGATTCCCAAAACCACCCTCCAGACAGACAATGATAACAAGACCTGTGGGTGATGATGAGGAGTCAGAGAGACTTAAGAGAGCCAAAGAGAAACTTGCACCACTGAATCAGCTGCTGAATGAGACACAAACTGAATCCATGAGTTTTCAACAGCTCCTGTCTGTCTGTGACTTAACCGCTGATGAGTACGAGAAACACATGAATGTGATGAGTCAGTCCAGCAACATCATTCTGAAGCGTGAGCCAAAAGACTGCTGGGTAAACACCTACAACCCTCACCTGCTCAAAGCTTGGGATGCAAACATTGACGTGCAGTTCATTCTCAGCTACTACAGTCTGATCCATTACATATGTACGTACATGTGTAAAAGTGAGAACTCTGTGAGCCAGTACCTGCAAACACTCATTCAGAACTCCGACAGAGAATGTGTCAATGAATGTGATGAAATGAAAGCGGTCATGCAGGCGTATTCAAAAAAGCGAGAAGTATCAGCACAAGAAGCTGTTGCCCGAGTGACTTCACTGAACATGAAAAAGAGTTCACGCAGTGTGGTTTTTGTCCCAACTGATGACAACCCAGTGAAAATGAGTCTGCCTGTGTCAAGCCTTGACAACACAACACCAGACAGCTTGAATGTGTGGATGACATCCTTAACAGACAAGTACAAATCCAGACCTGAATCACCAGAGTTTGAAGAGATGTGCATGGCTGATTTTGCTTCTACCTGCAGACTGGTGTATGGACAACAGACCAAGGGCAAGAAAGTGGTACCTTTGCTGAATGAACTAGGCTTTATACAGAGACGAGAAAGTGACAACGCTGCTGTCATCAGGTATCGCCGCATATCCAAAGAGAAATACCCTGAGCAGTTTTACGGCACATTGCTTAGACTGTATCTTCCATACAGATCAGACGATGAGCTGAAAAGACCATATTTTCCCACGTATGAGTCATTCTATGAGAGAGGTGTGGTTCAGCTGCCGTATTCTGACCGACCCCTGAGTGTGAAACTCATCGTGAAAAGAAACCGAGAGAGATATGAAAAAAACAGTGAGGAAATTGACTCTGCTCTCGAGGACTTTGAACAGAACAGAGGTGTGGTCGATGAATGGTGTAATTTGGCACCTGAATCTGAACTGGTGAGGTTGGAGTGTATCGATGAACTGGATGCCAGACAGTGTGAAAATGTCCAAGAGGATGTACCGGATTACAGCAGACAAGCAAATGCTGCTACAGAGGCCAGAGTCATGAGAGAGCCCCCTACAATCGATCCCACACGGTTACGACAAATGTATCAGAGTCTGAACCAGAAACAGGCATGTGTGTTCTATGCAGTGAGAGACTGGTGCATAAAACGAGTCTGTGGACAACAACCAGAGCAGTTTTTCTACTACATCAATGGTGGTGCTGGCACTGGAAAGTCACATCTCATTAAATGCATTCATTCAGAAGCATCAAAGATTCTGAGAACACTACCTACACGTGCAGAGGAAGCTGACATCTCAAACCCAACTGTGCTGTTGACTGCTTTCACTGGAACTGCAGCCTTTAACATCTCTGGAACAACACTTCACTCTCTCCTCAAGCTGCCCAGAAGTTTGAAACCTCCTTTTCAAGGTCTTGGGAACCAACTTGATGAAATCAGGTGTGAGCTTTTAAATGCTGAAATCATCATCATTGATGAAATCTCCATGGTGTCGAAGCCACTTTTTGCCTATGTGGATGTGAGACTGAAACAGATTAAAGGCAGCCACAGACCCTTTGGAGGAATGTCAGTCATTGCTGTTGGAGACTTTTACCAGCTACCGCCTGTGCGACAGTCCAAACCACTCTGTGTCTATGATCCAAGTGAGCTTGACCTCTGGAGAGACAACTTCCAGGTGATCACTTTAGATGAGATCATGCGACAGAAGGATGACAAAACTTTTGCCGAGATGCTGAACAGACTCCGTGTGAAAACAAGGTCAGATGAGCTTTCTGAAGCTGACAGAACTCTGCTGTCACAGCGTGTCACTGAACCACAACTGTGTCCCTCTGATGTGCTGCACATTTTTGCTACCAACAAACAAGTCACAGAACACAACTCTGCTACACTATCTCTGCTCCATTCTGATATCACCACCATTGATGCAGATGACTTTAAAAAGGACCCACACACTGGACACATGAAAAGACAAGGTGCACCATGTCATGGAAGCAGAAATGATCTACCTGACACACTAGATGTTGCAGTAGGTGCTAGGGTCATGCTTACCAGAAACATTGATGTGTCTCAAGGATTGGTGAACGGATCATTTGCTACAGTAGGCCGTCTCATAAGCTCTGAAAACAATGGTTCTGCTCTTGTCACTATGCTTGGTCTCAGGATGGATGATGAAACAGCTGGCAGGAGCTATCGTACTCGAGGAGACAATCTTGTGTACATCGAGAGATCTGAGGAGGCTCTGCAACAGAAAGGAGTGGTACGCAGACAGTTTCCTGTGAAACTTGCCTTTGCATGCACGATACACAAGGTTCAAGGTATGACCAGAAAATCAACTGTTGTCTCTCTGAAGCACATTTTTGAGCCCGGCATGGCCTACGTAGCTATCAGTCGAGTGACCTCTCTCAGCGGACTGTACATGCTTGATTTGGATGAGAGTAAAATCCATGCTAACCCTGCAGTCACTGTATCTTTGGAGACCATGACGCAAGCTAACTTTGATCACCTCATGCCTTTTCTCCAGATCCAGCATTCTCTCAGCAGACAGGACACTGTGAGCATCATTCATCACAACACCGAAGGATTACCTGCTCATGTGAATGACATCAAAAGCCATCATGAACTGTGTCTTGCAGATGTTTTGTGTCTGACAGAAACTCACCTACAGGGCTCCTTTGTGGCAGACAGTCTCCAGTTTGAGGGCTACACCATGTTCAAACGCAACAGACATTTGTCCTACACTAACTTTCCACAGATGGCCAGTAAAGGAGGTGGTGGAGTCGCTGTTTATGTGAAAAACCATTTGCAGGTTGTGGAGAAACAGTACCTGAATAATGTGACTGACCTCGAGTTTGTGGCTTTGAAGGTTGAATCTCCTGTAAGTGCTCTGATTGCAGCTGTGTACAGACCTCCAGACTACAGTGTGTCATCATTCCTGTCCAATCTGGGAAGCCTTCTGGACTCACTTGAGATCATGGACTGTCATCCTATCATTGTCTGTGGCGATTTCAATGAGAATCTCTTTTCTAATGCAAGTAAGCCAATTTTGGATTTCTTTCAGTCCAAGGGATATGGTCAACTGATCACTGCTGCTACAACGGACAAGAACACACTGCTGGACCTGATTTTCTGTTCACGACCTCAGCTATGTCTCTCCTCAGGTATTGTGCAGACATACTACAGTTACCACAACGCCACTTACTGTGTCATTTCATCCAACAGGTCATAGAGGAAACTACTATTAAGGAAAAGACAAACTACAGAAGCTGTGGCTAATGTTATGCTCATATTTTCAGTACAGATTGAAATGTGTTTGGTCATTGTAAATTTTACTAGTGCAAAAAATATTTTTATGGCTCAGAATTTTTTGAAAGAAAATATTTTTCAGGTTGTAAAATTTTCCAACTATTCAAATGTTATAAATTACAATTTTTGGCCTGTGCATTTATCAAGTCCAGTCAAGTCAAGTTAATCCATTTAACTTGACTTGACTGGACATAGGGAGGGTGGGTGCGGATTGATAAATGCACAGGCCAAAACTCTCAGCTGCTGTGTACAATACTGTATACAGCAGCTAAAATTAAAAACCTCCATCAGAAAGTGTGTGTTCCCTAATGAACACACACTTTCTGATGTTCTGTTACCTACCAGCTGAAACCCCCCTTTTCTCCACCCAACTTTACACCACTCTCTTAGCATGGGTGGCTGTAAGTACACTAGAGCAAACCTAAGTTTCCTTTTCTTTGGGTAGGTTTTTATTTTAAATTTTTTATTATTACTATTTTTTTTTTTTTTCAGTTGTCCCCGTCATCTTTAACCTGACCCCCATTAGTACTATCCTGACTAGCTCACTGTAAACTGAAAAAAATTATCAAACTGTCAACCAAAAGTAAACACATCACCTGTGGATGCAGTAGAGTAAAGCTAAGTTTCCTTTTGTTTGGGTATTTTTTTTTCTTCTTCAGTTGTCTCTGCCATCTTTGTCCTGACCATTAGTGCTGTCCTGACTAGCTCACTTATGAGCAGAAAAAAATTATCAAACCTTCAACCAGAAGTAAACACATCACTTTGGACCACTCAAAGACACAGTCTACCTGCTGTTTAACCCAGTCTTTGGTTGGAGGTGAAGAAGAGATGACATCCTCCACACCATCCCCCTGCTGCTCTCAACAACCATCATCGCTGTGCTGGACAGACTGCAGCACCCACCGGGACCCTTCTCTCATGGACTACACAAACATGTGTTTTACCTGCTTGTGCTCCAGATGTCCTGAAGCAGCTCTCAAGGACCACCAGACACCAGGCTGAAGCAGAACTGATGCTGTAGTACCTGTCACTCACTGGGCTCGTTCCTGCTGAAACTCCAAGAAATAAACCCCTCTTCAAGAAAGTCTGAGGTAATGTCTTGGTGAACTTGTGTTCATTTATTTTTTCTTAGTTATCTTAGCTGCTGTATTAATGCTTGTGATGCTATTGTACAGCTCTGCTGATACCATCGTCTTTAACAGCAGTGTTTTCTCCCAGGTCTTCTTTAAGCCAGTTAAGAGAGGAAGAACAGCTTAGACACTCAGACAGCTGAACACACCAAAGGTGGACATCATGCAGCCACCCTGAGCCTTGACCCTCTCTGTGTGAGGAAGCTTTGCTGCTGCAGACCTGGTGAAGTTGCTCTGCTGCAGTGCTTAAGGTATTCATTGTAATGATGTGTGTATTTATTCAACATGTTTAGTTTCACAGATTATCAACACAAATGTTTCTGTTTATTTCCTGTTTTGAACCAGCTACATTCTCCTACTTCAAGTCACTGTCTGTTCATCCACGGTGTAGCAAGTGCAGCTAACTAATGGTGATCCTACAATCAATTGTATTGATTACAGAGTTAAAGTGAAGGGGATTTTGTTTGTTTTTTTCAGACCTCTCCTCCTCCCGCCTCTGACTCCAGTGATGCTGTCAACTCGAACACTGATAACTGCACACAGTGATTCTACAACCACAGGTCAAAGGTCAAAACATTACCTCACTCAAAACCTTCACTCTGAACTGTACCGGGCTCGGCTTTTGGTTTTGAAAAAAAGTGCCCAGACAGAACACAGTACTCACTTGAGGAACTGACTGATTGTCTTCAGGACAGGACAACTATCACTCTTATATTGTTTTGAATCCTGTTTTCTACATTAAATGATCGGTTGTCGATATCTGTTAATATTTTAAGTTTCCTGTTTCTTGGACTTTATTTGTTCTATCTTATTTTAGTATTTTCTTTCCCTTTTACTGTGTATCTCTCCTTATATCAAAAGATGACCAACACTGATGAACGGAAAAGTTGTTGCAGGCAGCTGAATTTCTCGTTTTAATATGCTCACCATAGCCCTCAAATTTACCTACAAGAGAAGATGTGTTTTTAGAAATAAATGATGTACTTTGGGTTTCAGCTGGTAGGTACACTGCAGGTTTTTCACGTGTGCTTAGTCTTGGGCTAATGTTTTGGACAGCAGTGATCCCAGCATTACAGTGTGAAACAATCCCTGCTGAAGGTTGTCGTCACAATCATCAAACACAGGGCTTGGTTAAACGAACTGTGTGAAGGGATTTCATAGAGGAACAAAGTTCCCAACCCAGCATTTCAGTAAGACAGAGTAGTGTGAATGTTTGGATAAGAAAACACTGGGATCTAAAATGCTGACCAGATTGTCAGTCCACTGCAATGAGCTGATGACAGTATTAGCCTTGGTCTAACTACTGTGAAAAGCCTTTTGGGTGGTAAGGTGGACCAATACATGCTATAAAAAATACTTCAGTGCCATATTTAATTTTTTTAACCTTTCACCTTACTTTGCTTGTATATTTCCGCAAGCCTGGAGGACTGCATCTTTTGCATTTGCATTCTTTTCCTTACCCTCCACATTATTTTAAATTTTTAATTTAGATTTAATTAAAAAAATATATATTTTAATTTCTGTAAAATACTTCTGTACCACACTGTACAGTAAACTGCTGAGATATTTTTGCAAACAAATGAGCAGATGACAATGAGCTGATGACAGTAATAGCCTTGGTCTACTGTGAAAAGCCTTTTGGTGCTAAGGTGGACCAATACATTACATCAATTTATTTCAAGTTCTCAAATCTACTTTTTAATCTGATCATTTTAGATTTTGCTTAAAGTTTCAGTTTCATATCATTTAATTTTATTTATTATTATAATTATTTATTATTCTATAATTTTCTTTTTTTCTACGAGAGCCCACATTTCACTGCAGTTAGCTTTAAAAAATACTATAATGCCATATTTAATTCATAAGCCTTACACCTTACTTTGCCTGTATATTTCCACAAGCCTAACTTTGCATTATTTGCATTTGCATTCTTTACCTTACCCTTCACATTATATTAAATTTTAATTCAAATCTTTTTTTTTAATTTTAATTTTAACTTCTGTAAAATACTTCTGTACTACACTGTACAGTAAACTGCTGACTTATTTTTGCATACTATTCCTCATGTTCCATTTTATACTTTTTGTGATTCACATTTATGTTGTTATACTGCTGACCGATTGTAGTAACTATTTTTTTTATAACTCTCAAGTCACCATTTTCATATATTTTTTTTATGTATAGGTATAAAGGTTTTTCAGATATGCAAACTTAGTCTTAGGCTAATCTAAACCCTTAAAAACACACATAACAGTCCTGTATCAGACTTTGAAATCAAATTTCAAGGTCTGTTTTTAAAGCCCACAACACAGGACTTGGCTTAATGGGCCATGACAAATTTTATGAGCCAACTTTTGTTAAGGCTTAGTAATCCGAAAACACAAGAAAAGAGGTGAATGTGGGTACAGGGCTGCTGGAGTTTGAATCCAGTAAATAATGGGGTGTTAGCCTCAGTCTAACAACTGTGTGAAGAGCCTGTAATGATTGGGCTAAACAATTTTAGAAACAACTGAAAATGTGATACCTTTGTCCATCAACAATCACAGCAACGACAATCTTAAAACCTTAAGCTTAAGAGACAGATTGGTCACCCATGTAAAGATTTCTGCTTCCAATACCTGTTCACAAACAAATTGTTTATAATTTGATTTAAGGCACTATGGAACACTGTTTCTTTATGTGTTTATGTTTTTATTTTTTTATTTATTTTTATTTTTTTAATGTTTTATGATTAATCATTTCATTGCTCAAAAAATGTTAAAGGATTGACAATAATATTTTTCTTAAACATATATATTTAAATTAAACTTATTTGTGTAATGTGTTCATTTCTCATCTACATTCATTTCTACTTCTTCCAACATGAAGGCCTTTTCAGCCATCTTTAAAATTCTTTACCATATTTCCTGTAATGTTCAAGATCAGTTCTTTAGCAATTTGAATATTCATACAGCTACTGGTTTACCTCTCCCAGTGTTTTTACATCCATACAACTCATCTCTTTTTCATCATCTTCTTCTTCAGTTCTGTTACGGTTGAAACATTCATACAACTTCTATTTATAACACTTCACCCCTTTAACAGTTTTTTCATTTATACCTTCTCCATTTATTACTGGCAGTTTAGCATTGCTTTTTCAGCTTTCAGCACTCAGCATTTCCACGCATTTTCTGCAAGGAAATGCAATTTTTCTAGTTATTATTATTTTTCTTCCGCCATTTTTTGGCACTTTATAACTCTTCTCCACTTTGTGCGATTTCAACCGTTCAAACTTTAAACTATTCCTCTCCTTCAGGACATGACGGCGATTACTTTTCACTTTTCTACCCTTTATACTTTTTGATTTTTTTAACTTTTTATGCAAAAATTTTAACATTGAAGTCAATGGGGAAATCTTCCAATTCTTCCTGTTTTTCTTCCACCTTCTGAACCTTGTAACTTCTGCATACTTTCACCTAGAGACCTCATTTTTGCTTTAAAATGTTCATTCACTTGTCGACTATTACAGTTGTACTCAGTTTTTTGATATCTCTTACAGTTTTTCCACAATTTAGCTTTAAGCAACTTGTGGTTTTCAGCAAATTTCAAGCTTTATAATGGGTGTGTATTGGAGAGTTTAGAGTGATGATGTCATCAGCTAGAGTGCAGACCTCGTCTCTGATCGACAGAACCTCGCTCGAATATATCGCTCCCACGCCCACAAATCTCACTCCACTGACACAAATAATACATCAAAATGGAGGTATATGTGTCCTGCTTCTCACAAAAGAGGTTTCAAATCATTAAATCCTACCCCTTGGCCAGCAGGTGACCAACTGTCCAAAAAAGGCGGAAATCTCTCCCATTGACTGTAATGTTATTTTTCTCCAAGAAAATCCGGATCATCGCTCAAGCTCAGACTTTTTTAACTCGCTGTTGTGGCCTCATTTTTCGAAGTACAGACATGAAAAACACATCATTGTGTTCATGAAGGACGGAGGATTCGTACGATGTTCTTATTTTCATTCTGGGACTTAAGGAAATCACGCTATGTGAAGAAGTTCACAGGCTGAAATTCACTGCAGTTCAGCACCTCTCAGTCAAACAGTAGGTTAGTGATTTGCCTTTGATCTCACAGCTGTTTAGGATGCAGTCATTAACGAGACACACACACACACACACACACGCACACACACCTTCTTGTACTTGTTGCTTTTTGAGGTCCACCTTGCAGTTCAGCTGCTTGTACACACAGTTAATATGTGTCTGCTTCACCACCTATCTCCACCCACAAACTTTGAGCTACAGAAACCATTCTGGGCTTCAAAAATTCAGCTCATTGAAGATATTATGGGGTGTTTTGAGGATTGTGATAATAAATTGTATTAATGTGTTCAGCAGAGTCTTGTGTTCTCACAAGCTCCTTATGAATATATACAGAGGGTGAGCGTCAGGGCCTACTTGGAGTCCTGTTTCTTTAGCTTCAAGCCTTCTTTCTCCTGCTATAGTTATGCATCCAAGGTCCCCATGGCAACCAATTTGTGCACCTGGAGACACACAGCTGACTGGAAAGCTGCTTCTAGTGGCCATATGAGACACATGAAGCCAGGCTCAGTACACATAGCAATTGGGATGACACTTAAAACCCTTTCCTAGAGCGTTGGAAAAAACTTCAGCCCCTATCTCCTCACATGACCTTTGACCTACAGAAACCATTCAGGGCTTTGAAATTTAAGCTCATTGAGGACATTATTGGGTGTATTTAGGATTGTTATTCATTTAAATTTTTCACATTTTAAAAGTCAGTCAGTGATGATTTATCATTTAATTTTTCAAACTAATTTAAACTCATTCAAACTGATTCAAACCTTTCTAATACTTCAAAACTTTCTGATACTTGAGGACTTTTGATAATTTAAAATTTCCCTGTTTTAAATTAGTTTTAATATTTATGCATTACTCCATCATTCAAACAAAATCCTACCTCAAGTACGACAACTACTGCTAATGTCAATTGAACTAGAACTTTCCCCTCTACTTCAACTGCTATTGCTCCTATTTCTACTTTCTTTACTACTTTGACTTATACTTCTTTTATTCTCAATCTACTTCTACTGCTGACATGACTACTAGTATCACAACTTGACTTCTTATCATACTACTTCTAGTACTACAATTTAAACTTATGCCACTTCTCACCTTCCTGCCTTTTAAGGCAATTTCCTTCTTCATTCAAACTTTGTGCAATTTTCGACATTTTTCTAGCCTCTTTCAGCATGAATAAAATTTCCTTTTATAGAGCATATTCATACTATTTGTCCTTCAACCAATTAATCAATTATCCAACTTATATTTCTGTTCACCCCTTCAACAGCTTTAACATTTATACCTTTCTCCATGTTTTATTAGCAGTTTAGCATTGCTTTTTCAGCTTTCAGCACTCAGCATTTCCACGCATTTTCTGCAAGGAAATGCAATTTTTCTAGTATTATACTTAACACTCTCCCCATACGTTTCTTTGGACCGCTTCTCCTCCTTCAAACTTTGTCCGATTTCAACCGTTCAAACTTTAAACTATTCCACTCCATCAGGACATGTGTGCTTGTATTTTTTTCCTTTCTATCCTTTGTACTTTTTATTATTTTTCACTTTTTGTTCCAAACTTTTTTCCCATAGAAATGAATGGGGAAATCTTCCAATTCTTCCTGTTATTCGTGCACCTTCTAAGCCTTATAACTTCAGCATACTTTCACCTAGAGACCTCATTTTTGCTTTAAAATGTTCATTGTCTTGTCGACTATTGATGTTGTATTAACCTTTTTGTGCTATCTTTTACAGTTTTTCCACAATTTAGCTTTATGCAACTTGTGGTTTTCAGCAAATTTCAGGCTTTATAATAGGGGTGTATTGGAGAGGCTAGAGTGATGATTTGAAAAGCTAGAGTGCAGACCTCGTCTCTGATCGACAGAACCTCGCTCGAATATATCGCTCCCACGCCCACAAATCTCACTCCACAGCCATAAAAAATACATCAAAATGGAGGTATATGTGTCCTGCTTCTCACAAAAGAGGTTTCAAATCATTAAATCCTACCCCTTGGCCAGCAGGTGACCAACTGTCCAAATAGGCGGAAATCTCTCCCCATTGGCCCTAATGTATTTTTTCTCCAAGAAAATCCTTATCGCCACTCAGGCTCAGACTTTTTTAACTCGCTGTTGTAGCCACATTTTTCGGAGTACAGACATGAAAAACACATCATTGTGTTCATGAAGGGCGGAGGATTTGTACGATGTTCTTATTTTCATTCTGGGACTTAAGGAAATCGTGCTATGTGAAGAAGTTCAGAACCCTAAATTCACTGCAGTTCAGCAGCTTCTCCATTCAAACAATAGGTCAGTTCATGGCTTTGATCTTACAGCTGTTTAGGATGCAGTCATTAACGAGACACACACACACACACACACACACACATTCTTGTACTTGTTGCTTTATGAGGTCTACCTTGCAGTTCAGCTGCTTGTACACACAGTTAATATGTGTCTGCTTCGCCACCTATCTCCACCCACAAACTTTGAGCTACAGAAACCATTCTGGGCTTCTAAAATTCAGCTCATTGAAGATATTATGGGGTGTTTTGAGGATTGTGATAATAAATTGTATTAATGTGTTTAGCAGAGTCTTGTGTTCTCACAAGCTCCTTATCAGGAATAGATACAGAGGATGAGCGTCAGGGCCTACTTGGAGTCCTGTTTCCTTAGCTTCAAGCCTTCTTTCTCCTGCTATAGTTATGCATCCAAGGTCCCCATGGCAACCAATTAGTGCACCTGGAGACTAACAGCTGACTGGAAAGCTGCTTCTAATGGCCATATGAGACACATGAAGCCAGACTCAGCACACATAGCACTGGGGATGACACTTAAAACCCTTTACTAGAGCGCTTGAAAAAACTTCAGCCCCTATCTCCTCACATGACCTTTGACCTACAGAAACCATTCAGGGCTTTAAAATTTGAGCTCATTGAGGACATTATTGGGTGTATTTAGGATTGTTATTCATTTAAATTTTTCACATTTTAAAAGTCAGTCAGTGATGATTTATCATTTAATTATTCAAACTAATTTGAACTCATTTAAACTGATTCAAACCTTTCTAATACTTAAAAAATTAATCTTATACCACTTCTCACTTTCCTGCCTTTTGAGGCAATTTCCTTCTTCATTCAAACTTTGTGCAATTTTAGACATTTTTCTAGCCTCTTTCAGCATGAATAAAATTTCTTTTTATAGAGCATATTCATACTATTTGTCCTTCAACCAATTAATCAATTATCCAACTTACATTTCTTTCACACCCCTTCAACAGCTTTAACATTTATACATTTCTCCATGTTTTATTAGCAGTTTAGCATTGCTTTTTCAGCTTTCAGCACTCAGCATTTCCACGCATTTTCTGCAAGGAAATGCAATTTTTCTAGTATTATACTTAACACTCTCCCCATACGTTTCTTTGGACCGCTTCTCCTCCTTCAAACTTTGTCCGATTTCAACCGTTCAAACTTTAAACTATTCCACTCCTTCAGGACATGATGGCTATTACTTTTCTCTTTTCTACCCTTTATACTTTTTATTATTTTTCACTTTTTGTGCCAAACTTTTTTTCCCATAGAAATGAATGGGGAAATCTTTCAATTCTTCCTGTTATTCGTCCACCTTCTAAGCCTTATAACTTCAGCATACTTTCACCTAGAGACCTAATTTTTGCTTTAAAATGTTCATTGTCTTGTCGACTATTGATATTGTATTAACCTTTTTGTGCTATCTTTTACAGTTTTTCCACAATTTAGCTTTATGCAACTTGCGGTTTTCAGCAAATTTCAGGCTTTATAATAGGGGTGTATTGGAGAGGCTAGAGTGATGATGTCATCAGCTAGAGTGCAGACCTCGTCTCTGATCAACACAACCTCGCTCGAATATATCGCTCCCACGCCCACAAATCTCACTCCACAGCCATAAATAATAGATCAAAATGGAGGTATATGTGTCCTGCTTCTCACAAAAGAGGTTTCAAATCATTAAATCGTACCCCTTGGCCAGCAGGTGACCAACTGTCCAAGGAAGGCGGAAATCTCTCCCATTGACCATAATGTTATTTTTCTCCAGGAAAATCCGGATCATCGCTCAGGCTCAGACTTTTTTAACTCGCTGTTGTGGCCTCATTTTTCGAAGTACAGACATGAAAAACACATCATTGTGTTCATGAAGGACGGAGGATTCGTACGATGTTCTTATTTTCATTCTGGGACTTAAGGAAATCACGCTATGTGAAGAAGTTCACAGGCTTCAAATCCTCTGCTGTTCAGCTGCTTCTCATTCAAACAGTAGGTCAGTGATTTGCCTTTGATCTCACAGCTGTTAGGGATGCAGTCATTAATGAGACACACACACACACACATTCTTGTACTTGTTGCCTTGTCAGGTCTACCTTGCAGTTCACCTGCTTGTACACACAGATAATATGTGTCTGCTTCACCACCTATCTCCACCCACAAACTTTGAGCTACAGAAACCATTCTGGGCTTGAAAAATTCAGCTCATTGAAGATATTATGGGGTGTTTTGAGGATTGTGATAATAAATTGTATTAATGTGTTCAGCAAAATCTTGTGTTCTCACAAGCTCCTTATGAATATATACAGAGGGTGAGCGTCAGGGCCTACTTGGAGTCCTGTTTCTTTAGCTTCAAGCCTTCTTTCTCCTGCTATAGTTATGCATCCAAGGTCCCCATGGCAACCAATTTGTGCACCTGGAGACACACAGCTGACTGGAAAGCTGCTTCTAGTGGCCATATGAGACACATGAAGCCAGGCTCAGTACACATAGCAATTGGGATGACACTTAAAACCCTTTCCTAGAGCGTTGGAAAAAACTTCAGCCCCTATCTCCTCACATGACCTTTGACCTACAGAAACCATTCAGGGCTTTGAAATTTAAGCTCATTGAGGACATTATTGGGTGTATTTAGGATTGTTATTCATTTAAATTTTTCACATTTTAAAAGTCAGTCAGTGATGATTTATCATTTAATTTTTCAAACTAATTTAAACTCATTCAAACTGATTCAAACCTTTCTAATACTTCAAAACTTTCTGATACTTGAGGACTTTTGATAATTTAAATTTTCCCTGTTTTAAATTAGTTTTAATATTTATGCATTACTCCATCATTCAAACAAAATCCTACCTCAAGTACGACAACTACTGCTAATGTCAATTAAACTAGAACTTTCCCCTCTACTTCAACTGCTATTGCTCCTATTTCTACTTTCTTTACTACTTTGACTTATACTTCTTTTATTCTCAATCTACTTCTACTGCTGACATGACTACTAGTATCACGACTTGACTTCTTATACTACATTTTAAACTTATGCCACTTCTCACCTTCCTGCCTTTTAAGGCAATTTCCTTCTTCATTCAAACTTTGTGCAATTTTAGACATTTTTCTAGCCTCTTTCAGCATGAATAAAATTTCCTTTTATAGAGCATATTCATACTATTTGTCCTTCAACCAATTAAGTAGTTATCCAACTTATTTTTCTTTTTCATTCCTTCAACAGCTTTAACATTTATACCTTTCTCCATGTTTTATTAGCAGTTTAGCATTGCTTTTTCAGCTTTCAGCACTCAGCATTTCCACGCATTTTCTGCAAGGAAATGCAATTTTTCTAGTATTATACTTAACACTCTCCCCATACGTTTCTTTGGACCGCTTCTCCTCCTTCAAACTTTGTCCGATTTCAACCGTTCAAACTTTAAACTATTCCGCTCCATCAGGACATGATGGCTATTACTTTTCTCTTTTCTACCCTTTATACTTTTTATTATTTTTCACTTTTTGTGCCAAACTTTTTTCCCCATAGAAATGAATGGGGAAATCTTTCAATTCTTCCTGTTATTCGTCCACCTTCTACACCTTATAACTTCAGCATACTTTCACCTAGAGACCTCATTTTTGCTTTAAAATGTTCATTGTCTTGTCGACTATTGATGTTGTATTAACCTTTTTGTGCTATCTTTTACAGTTTTTCCACAATTTAGCTTTATGTAACTTGTGGTTTTCAGCAGATTTCAGGCTTTATAATAGGGGTGTATTGGAGAGGCTAGAGTGATGATTTGAAAAGCTAGAGTGCAGACCTCGTCTCTGATCGACAGAACCTCGCTCGAATATATCGCTCCCACGCCCACAAATCTCACTCCACAGCCATAAAAAATACATCAAAATGGAGGTATATGTGTCCTGCTTCTCACAAAAGAGGTTTCAAATCATTAAATCCTACCCCTTGGCCAGCAGGTGACCAACTGTCCAAATAGGCGGAAAACTGTCCCCATTGGCCCTAATGTCTTTTTTCTCCAAGAAAATCCTTATCGCCACTGAGGCTCAGACTTTTTTAACTCGCTGTTGTGGCCACATTTTTCGAAGTACAGACATGAAAAACACATCATTGTGTTCATGAAGGACGGAGGATTCGTACGATGTTCTTATTTTCATTCTGGGACTTAAGGAAATCACGCTATGTGAAGAAGTTCACAGGCTGAAATTCACTGCAGTTCAGCACCTCTCAGTCAAACAGTAGGTTAGTGATTTGCCTTTGATCTCACAGCTGTTTAGGATGCAGTCATTAACGAGACACACACACACACACATTCTTGTACTTGTTGCTTTTTGAGGTCCACCTTGCAGTTCAGCTGCTTGTACACACAGTTAATATGTGTCTGCTTCACCACCTATCTCCACCCACAAACTTTGAGCTACAGAAACCATTCTGGGCTTGAAAAATTCAGCTCATTGAAGATATTATGGGGTGTTTTGAGGATTGTGATAATAAATTGTATTAATGTGTTCAGCAGAGTCTTGTGTTCTCACAAGCTCCTTATGAATATATACAGAGGGTGAGCGTCAGGGCCTGCTTGGAGTCCTGTTTCTTTAGCTTCAAGCCTTCTTTCTCCTGCTATAGTTATGCATCCAAGGTCCCCATGGCAACCAATTTGTGCACCTGGAGACACACAGCTGACTGGAAAGCTGCTTCTAATGGCCATATGAGACACATGAAGCCAGGCTCAGTACACATAGCACTGGGGATGACACTTAAAACCCTTTCCTAGAGCGTTGGAAAAAACTTCAGCCCCTATCTCCTCACATGACCTTTGACCTACAGAAACCATTCAGGGCTTTAAAATTTAAGCTCATTGAGGACATTATGGGGTGTATTCAGGATTTATATTCATTTACATTTTTCACATTTTAAAAGTCAGTCAGTGATGATTTATCATTTAATTTTTCAAACTAATTTAAACTCATTCAAACTGATACTTGAGGATTTTAAAGTATTTAAATTTTCCATGTTTTAAATTAGTTTTAATATTCATGCATTACTCCATCCTTCAAACAAAATCCTACCTCAAGTACGACAACTACTGCTAATGTCAATTTAACTAGTACTTTCCCCTCTACTTCAACTGCTATTGCTCCTATTTCTACTTTCTCTACTTCAACTGCTATTGCTACTGTTTCTACTTTCTCTACTATTTTGACTTATACTTCTTTTATTCTCAAACTACTTCTACTGCTGACACGACTACTAGTATCACGACTTGACCTCTTATCATACTACTTCTAGTACTACAACTTAAACTAATGCCACTTCTCACCTTCCTGCCTTTTAAGGCAATTTCCTTCTTCATTCAAACTTTGTGCAATTTTAGACATTTTTCTAGCCTCATTCAGCATGAATCAAATTTCCTTTTATAGAGCATATTCATACTATTTGTCCTTCAACCAATGAAACCATTATCCAACTTATATTTCTTTTTCATTACTTCAACAGCCTTAACATTTATACTTTTCTCTATGTTTTATTAGCAGTTAAGCATTGCTTTTTCAGCTTTAGCACTCAGCATTTCCACGCATTTTCTGCAAGGAAATGCAATTTTTCTAGTATTATACTTAACACTCTCCCCATACGTTTCTTTGGACCGCTTCTCCTCCTTCAAACTTTGTCCGATTTCAACCGTTCAAACTTTAAACTATTCCACTCCATCAGGACATGTGTGCTTGTATTTATTTCCTTTCTATCCTGTGTACTTTTTATTATTTTTCACTTTTCGTTCCAAACTTTTTTCACATAGAAATGAATGGGGAAATCTTTCAATTCTTCCTGTTATTCGTGCACCTTCTAAGCCTTATAACTTCAGCATACTTTCACCTAGAGACCTCATTTTTGCTTTAAAATGTTCATTGTCTTGTCGACTATTGATGTTGTATTAACCTTTTTGTGCTATCTTTTACAGTTTTTCCACAATTTTGCTTTATGCAACTTGTGGTTTTCAGCTAATTTCAGGCTTTATAATAGGGGTGTATTGGAGAGTTTAGAGTGATGATTTGAAAAGCTAGAGTGCAGACCTCCTCTCTGATCGACAGAACCTCGCTCGAATATATCGCTCCCACGCCCACAAATCTCACTCCACAGCCATAAAAAATACATCAAAATGGAGGTATATGTGTCCTGCTTCTCACAAAAGAGGTTTCAAATCATTAAATCTTACCCCTTGGCCAGCAGGTGACCAACTGTCCAAATAGGCGGAAATCTCTCTCCATTGGCTCTAATGTATTTTTTCTCCAAGAAAATCCTTATCGCCACTCAGGCTCAGACTTTTTTAACTCGCTGTTGTGGCGACATTTTTCGGAGTACAGACATGAAAAACACATCATTGTGTTCATGAAGGGCGGAGGATTTGTACAATGTTCTTATTTTCATTCTGGGACTTAAGGAAATTGTGCTATGTGAAGAAGTTCAGAACCCTAAATTCACTGCAGTTCAGCAGCTTCTCCATTCAAACAATAGGTCAGTTCATGGCTTTGATCTTACAGCTGTTTAGGATGCAATCATTAACGAGACACACACACACACACAAACACACATTCTTGTACTTGTTGCTTTGTGAGGTCTACCTTGCAGTTCAGCTGCTTGTACACACAGTTAATATGTGTCTGCTTCGCCACCTATCTCCAACCACAAACTTTGAGCCACAGGAACCATTCTGGGCTTCAAAAATTCAGCTCATTCAAGATATTATGGGGTGTTTTGAAGATTGTGATAATAAATTGTATTAATGTGTTCAGCAGAGTCTTGTGTTCTCACAAGCTCCTTATGAATATATACAGAGGATGAGCGTCAGGGCCTACTTGGAGTCCTGTTTCCTTAGCTTTAAGCCTTCTTTCTCCTGCTATAGTTATGCATCCAAGGTCCCCATGGCAACCAACTTGTGCACCTGTAGACACACAGCTGACTAGAGAGCTACTTCTAATGGCCATATGAGACACATGAAGCCAGGCTCAGTACACATAGCACTGGGATGACACTTAAAACCCTTTCCTAGAGCGCTTGAAAAAACTTCAGCCCCTATCTCCTCACATGACCTTTGACCTACAGAAACCATTCAGGGCTTTAAAATTTAAGCTCATTGAGGACATTATGGGGTGTATTTAGGATTTATATTCATTTAAATTTTTCACATTTTAAAGTCACTCAGTGATGATTTATCATTTATTTTTTCAAACTAATTGAAACTCATTCAAACTGATTAAAACCTTTCTAATACTTAAAAACTTTCTGATTCTTGAGGATTTTTAATTATTTCAATTTTCCCTGTTTGAAATAAGTTTTAATATTTATGCATTACTCCATCCTTCAAACAAAATCCTACCTCAAGTACGACAACTACCGCTAATGTCAATTAAACTAGTACTATCCCCTCTACTTCAACTGCTATTGCTCCTATTTCTACTTTCTCTACTATTGTGACTTATACTTCTTTTATTCTCAATCTACTTCTACTGCTGACATGACTACTAGTATCACGACTTGACCTCCTATACTACTTCTAGTACTACAACTTAAACTTATGCCACTTCTCAACTTCCTGCCTTTTAAGGCAGTTTCCTTCTTCATTCAAACTTTGTGCAATTTTCGACATTTTTCTAGCCTCTTTCAGCATGAATAAAATTTCCTTTTATAGAGCATATTCATACTATTTGTCCTTCAACCAATTAAACAATTGTCCAACCTATATTTAAGTGGAAATGCTGACACAGCATTTCCACTTATTGTTATTCTACTATTTCTTTATTATTATTATTATTATTTTTATTTTTATTATTATTCTTCCGTACCTTTTTTGGCCCTTTTCAACTCCTTACCACTTTGTGCTATTTTCACCATTCAAACTTTATACTAATGCACTCCTTCAGGACATTATTGCTATTACTTTTCACCTTTGTACCATTTATACTTTTTGCAATATTTCACTTTTTCTGCAAAATTTGTTCCATTACAAATGAATGGAGATACAGCTATAACACCTTCTCACCCTTATAACTTCTGCATACTTTCACCTACAGACCTCATTTTTGCTTTAAAATGTTCAGCAACATGTCTGCTACAAATGTTGTATTCACTCCATTTTGCTATTTCCTACCGTTTTTGCACAATTTCGCTTGGAGCAACATGAAGTTTTCTCCCTTTTTCAGCCTGACTCACGCTACAGCGTCTGACGTCATCACTCGATGCGGGCGGGGCCTTTTGGATTCAGTAGACCAAGCGTGTTTATTTTGCTGCCGCGGCCGCAAGTTTCACTCCACAGCCATAAAAAACACATCAAAATGGAGGTACACTCGTCCTGCTTCTCACAAAATCGGTCTGAAGTCATGAAATTGTACAGCTTGCCCAGGAGGTGAGTACATTCCTTAGGAGCCAGAGATTCTGCACTTGTCATGGGCTGTGTGCTTCGATCGCACACGCACGGACTTGGCCGCTCGTGCGCGCGCGGGCACACACACACACACACACACACACACTGTTTCCATGAGTGCATTACTGTGTCTCTTACTATCTCTCTGTCAGATTCTGCACTTGTCATGGGATGTGTGCTTCGATCGCACACGCACGGACTTGGCCGCTCGTGCGCGCGCGGGCACACACACATACACACACACTGTTTCCATGAGTGCATTAATGTCTCTCTTTCTCTCTTACTGTCTCTGTCAGATTCTGCACTTGTCATGGGCTGTGTGCTTCGATCACACACGCATATGCACACGCACGGGCTCGGCCGCGCGCGCGCGGGCACACACACACACACACACACACACACACACACACACACACACACACACACACACACACACTGTTTCCATGTGTGCATTACTGTCTCTCTGTCAGTAGAAAATACAGCCCCAATATGAACTTTGTTGTTACAGTTCTTGTCTTTAACTCTTTTAACATACTAACTTCTTCTTTTTCTTCTACTTCTGCTTTTCTTTTCTATACTTTCTACATTTATACAATTAATTTAACTTCAGCTGTTTCATACTTTCTGCATTCAGATGTAGGGCAGTAACTGAAGCAGGGCAATAGATGGTGCTGTTCTGCATTCTCAAGTTACTATGGTTGGATGCTGCAGACTGCAAAAATCTGTTTTACTATTTGTACATTTAATAGGAACATTGTTACACATTGTTTAAAGGCATTTGTTTTTCAATTTCAATTATCCATATCAGTTCTGTTTATTCACATCAATCATATACATTTTTCACTTAGGCTATCAGACAATTTGTACATTAATCCAACTAATTTACCTCCAGCTATACTACAATTCTTCCATTCATACAATTTCTTCTTCTTCTACTCCACCTTTTCTACAGTTTTTCCGTTTATACCTTCCTCCATTTTTTATTGGCAGTTTTGCATTGCTTTTTCAGCTTTCAGCACTCAGCATTTCCACGCATTTTCTGCAAGGAAATGCAATTTTTCTAGTTCTTTCTCACTCCTTCAACAGCTTTAACATTTATACCTTTCTCCATGTTTTATTAGCAGTTTAGCATTGCTTTGTTAGCTTTCAGCACTCAGCATTTCCACGCATTTTCTGCAAGGAAATGCAATTTTTCTAGTTAAGTGGAAATGCTGACACAGCATTTCCACTTATTGTTATTCTACTATTTCTTTATTATTATTATTATTATTTTTATTTTTATTATTATTCTTCCGTACCTTTTTTGGCCCTTTTCAACTCCTTACCACTTTGTGCTATTTTAACCATTCAAACTTTATACTAATGCACTCCTTCAGGACATTATTGCTATTACTTTTCACCTTTGTACCATTTATACTTTTTGCAATATTTCACTTTTTCTGCAAAATTTGTTCCATTACAAATGAATGGAGATACAGCTATAACACCTTCTCACCCTTATAACTTCTGCATACTTTCACCTACAGACCTCATTTTTGCTTTAAAATGTTCAGCAGCGTGTCTGCTACAAATGTTGTATTCACTCCTTTTTGCTATTTCCTACCGTTTTTGCACAATTTCGCTTGGAGCAACATGAAGTCTTCTGCCTTTTTCAGCCTGACTCACGCTACAGCGTGTGACGTCAGATGTTACGTCACCGCTAGATGCGGCCGGAGCCTTTTGGATTCAGTAGACCAAGCGTGTTTATTTTGCTGCCGCGGCCGCAAGTTTCACTCCACAGCCATAAAAAACACATCAAAATGGAGGTACACTGGTCCTGCTTCTCACAAAATACTCATAAAAAAGTCATCAAATTGTACAGCTTGCCCAGGAGCTGAGTATATACCACCGGAGTGCAGCGATGCTGCCCTTCGACTCCCATGTTAAATTCCGGCCAAGAAACCCTGACAATTACTACATACAAGCCGTGTTTTAACTCGCTGTTGTTGCCACATTTTTTACACTATTGGCATGAAAAATACAGTATTGTCAGTATAACAGTGTCAGGATTCCCAAGATGTTCTTATTTTTTGGGATACCACTTAAGGAAATTGTGCTAGGTGAAGAAGTTTACACGGTTTCTACTTCATTCTCGATAGTAGCACTTGTCATTGGCAGTGTGCTTTGCTCACAGGAGTCAGGCACGGCCGCGCGCACACACTGGATCCGTGTGTGGACTGCTGTCTTTCTGTTTATAGGAGGTACACCCGTAATACTTACTATGTTCCTATAGTTTTGGTGTTTAATTGTTGTAACATACAAACTACTTCTTATTCCTCTACTTCTGCTTCTCTTTACAGTCTACATTTATATAATTACTTTAACTTTAGCTCTTTAATATTTTGTACAATCGTATGTAGTGCAGTAACTGAAGCATGCTACTAGATGATGCTGTTATGCCTTAACAACTTACTATGTTGAGATGCAGACTGCACACGTCTTTTCATTATACTTCTGCTAATAATAATGTCAGTATGAGTGTCACTTTATTACTACTTATATGACAACTACTATATATATCCCTTCTTTATTTCCTGTACTTAAAGTTTATTGTCAGCTTTATACAACTTTTGTACAATTAAAGGTAATTTTTCAGCTTCTTTGTACGTTTCCTACAGATGTCTTTTATTTGTATATGTGCAGGACAAATATCCGACTCTAACGCTAAGCCAGCAGGTGACCAGTTTTCAAAGTTCTGCTGAAATTGGGCTTATTGACACAGACACGCATGCAAGCGTGCACACGCAAGTAAATAAACATTCTTTGGCAGCATAATACCGTAATGTGTTTTCAACACTGACATGTCCGAGTGTTCCTGAATGTCTCAAAGACGTCAACTGTGTGTCTGTGTGAACCCACGGTATTCTGTGTCAGACTCTGCTCAGGTAAGTCGATGCACAGTCTCTGTTAACGTCCAGACACTACAAATGAGAATTTCACGTTTCTACATGACACTGGTTTCACTTATATTTCATTAAGAGGATGTGAGTGGTTGAGATATTGACTTGAAAATGCGTACAATACATATGATACTGTTGAACAATATAACGCTAAAGCTATTAGCGTCGAGCTAACGCTAAAGCTAACAGCATAGGCTACTGTTAATAAGGCTGAGTCATGTGCTTGCTGAAATACACAATATTGACTCAATTTGTGAGCTGCCGTCATGTTATACACCGTGCCAGTTAATATTTACTTTAAAAAGTTCATTAATGTTGGTAGCGATGGGGATACTGCTATTGTAAAGCATTTGTTAATGGGAGACGATTGTGACGGTACCGCCGTTGCTAAAGGTAACAGACTGTTGATTACTGTTACTTTGTCATATTAACAGTTGGGTCATTGACACGGGGATGTTAGCTGTTAAGCTCCTGATTACGTTCTATCAATTTTGTAGATATTTTTACTAATACAGGTTATCTTTACCAAGCACCTAGTTGTAACACATTTGAAATTATATTTTTTATGTGTTAAAATAATACAACATGCTGTTGTAATTATTGAGAGGGTTGTTCATGATGGTAATGATATAGATATTTGCAATGTCAAACATCACATTATCGACATATATGCTCTACAACCACAAGTTCAAATACATATACATTTAATGGATGGGTTGTAAGCTGCCTTGAAGCTTGTGAACCAGCTCCTCCTCTGTATTTGCTTCAGTAGCTGCTCCTGAAATTTATGTACTACTGTACCGTATGTTACCTTTATAGGAGTTTGAAATAATTCATAAAATGTATTCTGTGACATTTTAAGCTGTAGCTAACAGTGAGGTGATGTTTTAGAGCTGTTTCATTTTCTATTACTATTATGACTAATAATGTTGCTTTTCTCATAGGCCTGCTGTTTTAATGTACTATGTATCTGACAGATAGCATTAATGTATTGTTTTTTGTCTCAAACAAACAGAAGATTATACCACTCCCGTGCGTTTATTGGTAAGTAGAAGTGTTATTACCAAAAGTGACATCGTACTCTAAAAATTAGCTGGATGAATGTTTTGCTTTATCCTGGTAAACAACAACTCATGAGACATATATTTCAACAGATGATGCATCTAATAAAGACTGACTTTAATTACATATTAAATGTTGATCTTTCTCTATCACTACTGCATATCTCCTATTATACATATATATATATATATATATATATATATATTGGATACATTTTTTCCTGGTGGACAACTGTGTTAACAATGTTACCACACAACTACATTTGTTTATTCAAAACATTTCAACTTGCTGGGAAAGTGTGACTTCATTTTCATAATAATGATGAGGGAAAATCATTTGGGAAAATGAGTGAATGAAGTCAGCTGTGAGGCTGTTTATTTTAAAGAGTATTAAATATCTGTTTTCTACATTTTAAGCTTCATGTTTTTCAGGCCAAGGTTGCTTCACTATAATCTTTCCAGTCATTATGTGGTATAAAACATGAACTTGGATTAGAAATTACAAAACTAATGATTGTCAATGAAAAATGGTTGTGCCATCAATTAAGTATGACATAATGATTGTTTTGCAACTACATTTACATTTTCCTCCTCTATAATTTCACTGCTTCTGAAATTGGCTATTCTATCTCTTTAATGCAGACCATTGTGGCCAACTCAGCTGAAAGTTCACTAACACAAATACATGTTAATGTGTGAATACATTTTTTTTACAACACATTATGTAAAACCGTACATCATGTCATAATTTCACAAACTGCTGCATCTTTTCACTGAATTGTAACATTACCCATTTCAAACTATGCCTTATCTTAAGTCAAGCTGAACCTAATGTTAATACGTTTGCTGCTTGATAACAATTGAATGTTTATTACAGTGTCATGTTTTGTTTTTTGACAATGAAACTCTAAATGTTTCATCTCTATTTTTCCATTTCCCCTCCTAGTGACTCTACCTTGTGTTTAAGTGCAGACCGCTTGCCAGTCAGTGTAAGTTTATACATGAATGACATTTTTATGAATATCACTGTGTGCTTTTATTGTACACATTTTACACACACCTCTCTTTCTGTAGTTTCTACACAATTGAGGTTACTTTGGTACACATGATATTTGATCACATGCTTATGAACATTATTATTAAGGCAATTAACATTGATTTATATAACCATTCAAGATAAGTGGGTGATACATCTTTTCGTAAAATACACTGAGCTCATACATACATTTCTTCATCTATTTAGTAACATTTTATATGTTCAGCCCTGATACATTTTTCAAAAGATGATCAAATAACAATGCTCAGTTTCAGCATTTCACTCAACTACACTTTGAATAGATGTGTATTCAGAATTCCCATATGTTACTTTGAATGAAAGCACATTATAATGACATTAGTTTCGGGTGAATGTCGGTGGATTTCAATGTTTTTATTATATTTCATACAAATTATTAATATTTATTTCCATTTTTCTTACAGATATCCTGTACTGTCCCTCCACTCTCTCCTATCATTTTGGACATTCTGCCTTTCTATCTCTCCTCTATCCAACTCTGACTATTTGAACAGCTATTGCCAGCCTTTACAACCTATTTTGAAAGCCTTTACCACAGCCTTTGACAGCCTTTAAAAACCGTTGTGAAAGCCTTTAAGAAAGGCTTTGACTGCCTTTGACAGCCTTTCTACCACTTTTAGAGCCTTAAAAAGAGGCATTCAGACACTTTGAGAACACTTTTTGGAAACAAGCTTTTTTTTTTCAACTGATCGCGTGTAAAAGCAATACTTTTGAAACAGCAAAATCTTTGAAAGTGCAAAATCAGAAACATCACAATCTTTGAAACAGCTGTACTTTTAAAACAACTACTGTTATAAAAAAGCACTAATTTTGCACAAGTGTTATTTTTCTTGTAGTTCTTCCTTTCCATTGTGTGGCTCTACAGTTTCACCTGAAGAAGTTTCATCACCATCACCGCTCCTGCCTCATTGATTTTGAGTTTGAAGAATATACCTTTCATATTTTTGACTTGAATTTTATTTTAACAAAAAAGTCCTGACATCTAAACATTTGCTATTGATTTTTGTTTCTGTTAAATAACGTACTTTCTGAAAACAATAAAGCATTTCTGTCCACTCTGGTGTAATCAATAACTTGACTTTGTTGTATAAAATCATTGTTGTCAAAGGATAGCTACAATGCCTAGGAAAAGTAAGAGGTCACAGGCTGCAAGTGAGCGCTGGCAGAGGAGACGTGACATTGATTGTGTAACTACTGAACAAGCAGATTGTGCTCCTCAGATCAGTGCAGAGACAAGGAAGGCTATGGTATCTGATGTTAACACTGTTAACCAGGGAGGTCAAAGTGCATCATGTTTATCACAGGTATCTGATGCAGATGTGTCTAAAAGGAATGTATATGAACCTCCCATAGCAAGCCCGTCTGATTGTGGAGCGATAAAGCACAGAAGTCAAAGCAATGATCCAGATGTACAACAGGTAACATGTGCAAACATGTTGAAAACAAAACTTCCTAGTGTGTCATGTACTGCTGGTCCATCCAACTGTCAAGCAAACTACGTAGCCAAAAGTGTTGAGTCATGTTCCACTCAGGTACCGTATGCAGACATTGGAAAGAACTGTAGTGATGTAAATGTATCAGGCTCTTCTCAACATGAAAATGTAAACACTGCATACCAGTCAGGAGAACAAAGTGTGTGTGCCTCACGCAGTCAAGCATCTCTGAAATATGGACGATCCAGAAACAAGCAGTGCACCTGTAACTCACTGACATTTCTAGCATTCCTGTATGAGAATGAAAACATCACCAGAGCAGACCTAGACCGTGTTTTGGATAAAGGCAATGTGGTGTATAAACAAGTCAGAAAAACAGTTCGTAATCACATCCATCTCACAACTGATGAGCTGCCTAAGTGGGTACCTGCACGCAGTCACATGCAGAGAGTTGACATGTTACAGCTGTCTAGATACGGTACATTTGGAGATCCGGATCCCGGAGCTGTTGATACCTTTCTGGAGCTCGAGATGGGACTGAGCTGCTTATTATCAGATGTGCAGTATGCTTTGCTGCTGATGGCTTCACTGTGCATTGCAGTTTTCAGGACCAGAAGTGGCAGATATGGTTTCTTTGACCCACATGCTAGGACACCTCATGGTTTGCCTCGACTCCAGCCTAGAAGTACTCCTGGCACTGCAGTCATGGTCACATTTACACGACTCAGTGACATGATTCACAGGTTGATCAGTTATCACCACATATTGTCGACCCCAGAGTCCTGTAAGTATGAGCTGAAACCAGTTGTGTTTTATGATGTGAACCCAAATGATGATATCCCAGCCACTGAAGGTATGTGTACAAGTTCCTCTGTAATAACCACTGTGATAAATGATGACACAAGTGCTCCACAGATGAACACTGATGTTCATGAAAACACTGAGCATGACATGGAAACTGAACAGGAACAACTGATGGAGTTCAGCCAGTGTTCTGTCACATTAACTGGACCTGAATCTCTTGCTCCACAGATTAACACCACTGTAACTGATGACTCTCATGACCTCTCAACCCTGATTGAAACACAAGCACATCAACCTGAGCAAATCAGCAATAACTCTTTCAAATTACAGCAAATTCAGGACACACAATCAAATTTCACACAAGCATTAATAAATAACCCTGTCACCAGTGACAATGTCCTCAATGATATCTCCAGTACACTGTCAAAACTGAACAAAGCACAAAAGAAAAAAATTCTGAGGAGAGTAATGACACCTCAAAAGACACCACAAAAGAAAGACAATCAAAAAAGGAAAGAGAGAGAAAAGTATGCCAAGGATGAAACATATAAAGCAAAGAAAAAATGTTATTCAATGAGCAGATATTCTGTCAATCCTGAAATACAGACAAAGAAAAGACAAAATATCAGGAGTAAATACAGGGAAAGCACAGACTTCAGACTGAAGCAAAAATTATACATGACAAGGAAATACAGAGAAAATGTGGATTTTAAAAACAGACAAAAACAATATATGAACAAAAAATACAGAGAAAATGTGGATTTTAAAGACAGACAAAAACAATATCTGAACAAAAAATACAGAGAAAATGTGGATTTTAAAGACAGACAAAAACAATATCTCAACAAAAAATACAGAGAAAATGTGGATTTTAAAGACAGACAAAAACAATATCTGAACAAAAAATACAGAGAAAATGTGCATTTTAAAGACAGAAAAAAACAATATATCACCAAAAAATACAAAGACAATGTTGATTTTAAAGCCAGACAAAAACAATATATCACTAAAAAATACAAAGACAATGTTGATTTTAAAGCCAGACAAAAACAATATATCACTACAAAATACAAAGAAAATGTTGCTTTTAAAGCCACACAAAAACAATATATCACTACAAAATACTCAGAAAATGTTGCTTTTAAAACCAGACAAAAAGAATATATTAGGAAAAAATACTCAGAGGATGTAAATTTCCGGCAAAGACAGCGATCCTTTATGCATCATCGATATGCAAATGATATATTCCGCCACCAACACAGACAGCTGATGAGACGAATGATGCGAGACAGGTACAAGAAAAATCTTGCATACAGGACTATGCATAAAACCAGATGTGCATTGAAAATATCACAGAAATATAAAGCCATAAGTAAACGAACACGTCAGACTGACAGAGAGAGTGAAAACCCACTTATTGAAAGTGCCATCAGTGATTTCCGATCACACATTAAAGCTGGTCCCACCCATGTTTGCACAGTTTGTCACAAAGCCTCATTTCCAAACCAGGTGCAAAAGTGCAAAAGGTCCAACTATGTGAAAAATCCAATCATGGTTTCAGCTTGTCTCAAAGGTCAGTATGTCCATGAGTGTAACGATAACTGCAGAAATCAGTGCACTGTCCCTGATGAGAGAAAGACTGAGTGGATTTGTCACACCTGCCATAACCATGTGAAAAATGGATCCATGCCCAAACTTGCCATAGCAAACAACTTGGAGCTTGCTGACATTCCACCTGAGCTGTGTGACCTCAACATACTGGAGAGACATCTGATAGCAAAGTGCATAACATTTGCCAAAATCATTCCTCTTCCCAAAGGCAGACAGAGAGCTATACATGGTAATGTTGTATGTGTTCCCTCTGAAGTCCAGGAAACAATTCATGCTCTACCCAGATTGAGAAATGAGTCTCAGGTGATGAGAGTAAAACTGAAGAGACGTTTGAGTTACAGAGGCCACCATCTGTTTCAGACTGTTACCTGGTCCAAGCTAGTGCAAGCTCTGCATAAACTCAAAGAGATACACCCCCAGTATGAAGACATAACTATCAGAGATGAGGAGGAGTTATGTGACCCCACACTTCCTGATGATGGTTATGAGGATGAGGATGAAGACGATGGTAATGATATTACAATGAATGATGACGACTATGACGATGAGGATTTGATGGAGATTGATAGAATTGAGGCTGCTGCCATGCATGACGTTGAAACTAATGTTGAAAATGACGATGAAAACACAGAGCTGTGTGATAAAAGTCAGACCCAGGACAATGATGATCAGACACAACAACAGGACGCAGACATGCATAATGGTGGTGTTGTTTTGGAGTCGTGCCTTCAGCCACGGGATGTTTCTGAGGAGATATTGTGTTTCAGTGACTCTACATACTCAGTAGCTCCAGCAGAGAGAAACAGTCCAGTCAGTTTTTTCAAAACACCCAAACTAGAGGCCATGGCGTTCCCTGTTCAGTTTCCCACTGGTGAGAATACACTGGATGAAAACAGACCCATGAAACTATCACCCAGTAGTTATTTCAAAGCAAGGCTCTTTGGTGTTGATGATCGCTTTGCCAAAGATACCAACTACCTGTTCTTTGCACAGTTTGTGACTGAAATACACTTGGCTACCTCCAGCATGTCAATACAGTTACGCAAAGGCAAACCTTTGACCAGAGATGGACGAAAAATAACATCCAAGATGTTGAGAGAAAAACTTGAAGTGGAGAGACTGGTGAGAAACAGAGATGCTATCAGATTTATGCAGCCGCTCAGAGGAACACCAGCCTACTGGGACAAAACTACAAAAGATCTGTTTGCTATGATCAGACAGTTGGGCAGTCCTACTTTCTTTGTCACATTTTCTGCAGCAGAAATGCGTTGGCCTGAGGTGATTATTGCAATAAAATCACAACAAGGTGAGGAGGTGAATTTTGAAGAGCTCGACTGGTCCACAAAGTGTGACATTCTGAGAAGCAATCCTGTGACAACGATGCGCATGTTTGATAAGCGTGTTGAAGCACTGTACAGAGATCTGATCATGTCTCCTGCACAACCCCTGGGCAAAGTTTTTGACTTCTTTTGGCGTCTCGAGTTTCAGCACAGAGGAAGTCCTCATATACATGGTCTTTTGTGGGTAGAAGGTGCACCTGTGTTTGAGAGAGACTCTGATAAAACTGTGTGTGACTTTGTGTCCAAACACATCTCTGCTCAGCTCCCTGATCCAAATAAACAGCCTGAACTGTACAAAAAGGTCAAAGAAGTGCAAATACACAGTAAGAAACACTCAAAGACATGTTTCAAAAGTGCAAGGTCTGGATGCCGATTTGGATTCCCAAAACCACCCTCCAGAAGGACAATCATAACAAGACCTGTGGATGACGATGAGGAGTCAGAGAGACTAAAGACAGCCAAAGAGAAACTTGCACCGCTAAATCAGCTGCTGAATAAACCTGAAACTGAATCCATGAGTTTTCAACAGCTCCTGTCTGTCTGTGACTTAACCGCTGATGAGTATGAGAAACACATGAATGTGATGAGTCAGTCCAGCAACATCATTCTGAAGCGTGAGCCAAAAGACTGCTGGGTAAACACCTACAACCCTCACCTGCTCAAAGCTTGGGATGCAAACATTGATGTGCAGTTTATTCTCACATACTACAGTCTGATCCATTACATATGTACATACATGTGTAAAAGTGAGAACTCTGTGAGCCAGTACCTGCAAACACTCATTCAGAACTCCGACAGAGAATGTGTCAATGAATGTGATGAAATGAAAGCGGTCATGCAGGCGTATTCCAAAAAGCGAGAAGTATCAGCACAAGAAGCTGTTGCCCGAGTGACTTCACTGAACATGAAAAAGAGTTCACGCAGTGTGGTTTTTGTCCCAACTGATGACAACCCACTGAAAATGAGTCTGCCTGTGTCAAGCCTTGACAACACAACACCAGACAGCTTGAATGTGTGGATGACATCCTTAACAGACAAGTACAAATCCAGACCTGAATCACCAGAGTTTGAAGACATGTGCATGGCTGATTTTGCTTCGACCTGCAGACTGGTGTATGGACAACAGACCAAGGGCAACAAAGTGGTACCTTTGCTGAATGAACTAGGCTTTATACAGAGACGAGAAAGTGACAACGCTGCTGTCATCAGGTATCGCCGCATATCCAAAGAGAAATACCCTGAGCAGTTTTACGGCACATTGCTTAGACTGTATCTTCCATACAGATCAGACGATGAGCTGAAAAGACCATATCTACCCACGTATGAGTCATTCTACGAGACAGGTGTGGTTCAGCTGCCGTATTCTGACCGACCCCTGCGTGTGAAACTCATTGTCAAAAGAAACAGACAGAGATATGAAAAAAACAGTGAGGAAATTGACTCTGCTCTGGAGGACTTTGAACAAAACAAAGGTATTGTCGATGAATGGTGTAATTTGGCACCTGAATCTGAACTGGTGAGGTTGGAGTGTATTGATGAACTGGATGCAAGACACTGTGATGATGAAAATGTCCAAGAGGATGTACCTGATTACAGTAGACAAGCAAATGCTGCTACAGAAGCCAGAGTCATGAGAGAGCCCCCTACAATCGATCCCACACGGTTACGACAAATGTATCAGAGTCTGAACCAGAAACAGGCATGTGTGTTCTATGCAGTGAGAGACTGGTGCATAAAACGAGTCTGTGGACCACAACCAGAGCAGTTTTTCTACTACATTGATGGTGGTGCTGGCACTGGAAAGTCACATCTCATTAAATGCATTCATTCAGAAGCATCAAAGATTCTGAGAACACTACCTAGACGTGCTGAGGAAGCTGACATCTCAAACCCGACTGTGCTGTTGACTGCTTTCACTGGAACTGCAGCCTTTAACATCTCTGGAACAACACTGCACTCTCTCCTCAAGTTGCCCAGAAGTTTGAAACCCCCTTTTCAAGGTCTTGGGAACCAACTTGATGAAATCAGGTGTGAGCTTTTAAATGCTGAAATCATCATCATTGATGAAATCTCCATGGTGTCGAAGCCTCTGTTTGCCTATGTGGATGTGAGACTGAAACAGATTAAAGGCAGCCACAAACCCTTTGGAGGAATGTCAGTCATTGCTGTGGGAGACTTTTACCAGCTACCGCCTGTGCGACAGTCCAAACCACTCTGTGTCTATGATCCAACTGAGCTTGACCTCTGGAGAGACAGCTTCCAGGTGATCACTTTAGATGAAATCATGCGACAGAAGGATGACAAAACTTTTGCTGAGATGCTGAACAGACTCCGTGTGAAAACAAGGTCAGATGAGCTTTCTGAAGCTGACAGAGCTCTGCTGTCACAGCGTGTCACTGAACCACAACTGTGTCCCTCTGATGTCCTGCACATTTTTGCTACAAACAAACAAGTCGCAGCACACAACTCTGCTACACTATCTCAGCACCATTCTGATATCACCACCATTGATGCAGATGACTTTAAAAAAGACCCACAGACTGGACACATGAAAAGACAAGGTGCACCATGTCATGGAAGCAGAAATGACCTACCTGACACACTAGATGTTGCAGTAGGTGCTAGAGTCATGCTTACCAGAAACATCGATGTGTCTCAAGGATTGGTGAATGGATCATTTGCTACAATAGGCCGTCTCATAAGCTCTGAAAACAATGGTTCTGCTCTTGTCACTATGCTTGGACTTACGATGGATGATGAAACAGCTGGCAGGACCTACCGTACAAGAGGAGACAATCTTGTGTACATCGAGAGATCTGAGGAGGCTCTAAAACAGAAAGGAGTGGTACGCAGACAGTTTCCTGTAAAACTTGCCTTTGCATGCACAATACATAAGGTTCAAGGTATGACCAGAAAATCAACTGTTGTCTCACTGAAGCACATTTTTGAGCCCGGCATGGCCTACGTAGCTATCAGTCGAGTGACCTCTCTCAGCGGACTGCACATGCTTGATTTGGATGACAGTAAAATCTATGCTAACCCTGCAGTCACTGTATCTTTACAGACCATGAGGCAAGCTAACTTTGATCACATCATGCCTTTTCTCCAGATCCAGCATTCTCTCAGCAGACAGGACACTGTGAGCATCATTCATCACAACACTGAAGGATTACCTGCTCATGTGAATGACATCAAAAGCCATCATGAACTGTGTCTTGCAGATGTTTTGTGTCTGACAGAAACTCACCTACAGGGCTCCTTTGTGGCAGACAGTCTCCAGTTTGAGGGCTACACCATGTTCAAACGCAACAGACATTTGTCCTACACTAACTTTCCACAGATGGCCAGTAAAAGAGGTGGTGGAGTTGCTGTTTATGTGAAAAACCATTTGCAGGTTGTGGAGAAGCAGTACCTGAATAATGTGACTGACCTTGAGTTTGTGGCTTTGAAGGTTGAATCTCCTGTAAGTGCTCTGATTGCAGCTGTGTACAGACCTCCAGACTACAGTGTGCCATCATTCCTGTCCAATCTGGGAAGCCTTCTGGACTCACTTGAGATCATGGACTGTCATCCTATCATTGTCTGTGGCGACTTCAATGAGAATCTGTTTTCTAATGCAAGTAAGCCAATTTTGGATTTCTTTCAGTCCAAGGGATATGGTCAACTGATCACTGCTGCTACAACGGACAAGAACACACTGCTGGACCTGATCTTCATCTCACAACCTCAGCTATGTCTCTCCTCAGGTATCATGCAGACGTACTACAGTTACCACAACGCAACTTACTGTGTCATTTCATCCAACAGGTCATAGAGGAAACTGCTCTTAAGGAAAAGACAAACTACAGCAGCTGTGGCTAATGTAATGCCATAGTTTCAGTAAATTTGAAATTGAAATGTGTTTGGTGATTGTACATTTTACCAGTGCAAACAATATTTTTATGGCTCTGAATTTTTACAAACAAAATATTTTTCAGGTTGTAAAATTTTCCAACTATTCAAATGTTACAAATGACAATTTTTGGCCTGTGCATTTATCAAGTCCAGTCAAGTCAAGTTAATCCATTTAACTTCACTTGACTGGACATAGGGAGGGTGGGTGCGGATTGATAAATGCACAGGCCAAAACTCTCAGCTGCTGTGTACAATAATGTATACAGCAGCTAAA